AGGGTCACCCAACATGAGACCACGAGGGTCAAAGGGTCACCCAACATGAGACCACGAGGGTCAGAGGGTTCCCCAACATGAGACCACGAGGGTCAAAGGGTCACCCAACATGAGACCACGAGGGTCAAAGGGTCACCCAACATGAGACCACGAGGGTCAAAGGGTCCCCCAACATGAGACCAGGAGGGTCAAAGGGTCACCCAACATGAGACCACGAGGGTCAGAGGGTTCCCCAACATGAGACCACGAGGTTACGAGAGTCCCCCAACATGAGACCACGAGGGTCAGAGGGTCCCCCAACATGAGACCACGAGGTTACGAGAGTCACCCAACATGAGACCACGAGGTTACGAGAGTCACCCAACATGAGACCACGAGGGTCAAAGGGTCCCCCAAAATGAGACCACGAGGGTCAAAGGGTCCCCCAACATGAGACCATGAGGGTCACCCAACATGCGATCACGAGGGTCAGAGTCCACAAACATGAGACCACGAGGGTCACCCAACATGAGATCACGAGGGTCAGAGTCCACAAACATGAGACCACGAGGGTCACCCAACATGAGATCACGAGGGTCAGAGTCCACAAACATGAGATCACGAGGGTCAGAGTCCACAAACATGAGATCACGAGGATCAGAGTCCCCCAACATGAGAGCATGAGGGTCCGACAGTTACCTAACATGAGACCACGAGGGTCCGACGGTTACCTAACATGAGACCACGAGGGTCAGAGGGTCACCCAACAGGAGACCGGAAATTTTTACATTTGCAAGAAAAAAAAAGGTAAAAACTTTAATTAAAGTTTTAAAATATCAATAATTTTTTTAAATTATAGAATTTTAAATTCGTTAAAAAAGCACTTTTTTAAATATTTAAAGTCATACATTTGGAGGAAAGGAGGAGGAACATGGCTGCATGAGTTGAAATTACCTGAGTGACATCATTTCTTTCATCCAGGTGTTTATTTATTTAAATTAAAACTTATTTTTTCCTCAACATTTTAGAATTTACTCATGTCAGTCAATATTTTGTTATTTTTGGTAAATGTCGGATTTAATCCTCACAGATTAATGACTTTACATCAGTTTGATTCTTGGAAACAATCATGTTTGTGTTTGTCAGATTTTATTAGTTTATTTAAAGAATAATCAGAAAACAGAGTTTATAACTGAGCTCCGCTGTAGAACATATGAACAATAAGTTTCATAAAGTAACTGAACTCTTAAGTTTTCAATAATATTTAACATCGGAGTCACTGATCTGTTTTCTGTTCTCAGAGGTCAGCGACCTTCAAGCGGAGCYTAATAAACGTCTAACGTCCACAGCCGAAGGTCTGGTTCCAGTCCTCGTACAGCTCCAGGTCCTTGCTGGACACGCTGGGTCTCACGGTCTTCAGAGCTTCCAGGAAGTGGCAGTAGAGGATGGGTGGGACCTGGTCGGCGGTGATGGTGGTGATGTCGCACAGCTGGATGCTGCGTATGGGCCCCAGGGCGGCCTCCCTGCAGAGCTGCGTCATGTCGGCGCCAGAGAAGCCGTCGGAGGCGCTCACCACGCTCTGCAGCTCCTCCTCCGTCAGTCCGTGTTTYTCCCGGACCATCAGGTTGGTGACGATCTGGCGCCGGGCGGCCGCTCCGGGCAGCGGGATGTACAGCCGCTTTGCCAGGCGCCGGCGGGCCGCCTCGTCGATCTCCTGGGGGCGGTTGGTGGCGCCCACCACCAGGATGCGGTCCTCCGCCGCCGTGGCGGCGCCATCCAGCTGGACCAGGAACTCCGTCTTGATCCTGCGGGACGAGTCGTGCTCACCGTCCGTCCTCTGGGACAGCAGYGAGTCGATCTCGTCGATGAAGATGACGGCGGGCTGGTGGCAGCGGGCGATGGCGAACAGCGCCCGCACCATCTTCTCGCCCTCRCCCACCCACTTGGACGTGAGCGACGAGGCGCTGATGCTGAAGAACGTGGCTCCCGACTGACAGGCGATGCACTTCCCGATCAGGGTTTTCCCGGTGCCTGGGGGGCCGAACAACAGGATGCCCTTGGGGGGTCCTCGCAGACCGGTGAAGATATCTGGTCTCAGCATGGGCCAGACCACGATCTCCTTGATGGTAGTCTTAGCGAACTCCAGACCCGCGATGTCGTCCCAGACCACCGGAGGCCCGTGGTCCATGATCTCACTCAGGATCAGCTCCACGATCTTCGGCTCAAAGTTCTTCAGGCGCTCGTCCAGGACTTCGGGTGTGGACTGCCGACCCGCCGCGCCGTCTTCCTCCTCCTGACGAGCGACGGGCGACACGAACTTAGAAAAGGCGCCGCGAGGCCGGTTGGCCCCCAGAGATTTCTTCACCAACGCGGCGGCGGCAGGGGGCGGAGCTCTGCAGGACTGAGAGGAATGTTTCCTCTGCTGGTCGAMGAGGAACTGCTCTCGGGCCGACCGGAAGGTGGATCCGGTGTTTCCTCGGCCTCCGTGTTGGCCCCTTCCACTGTCCTGGTTGTAGAAGTTCTTCCGTTTAGACGGGTTGGAGGAGGGGAATAAGGGGGTCTGAAGGTTTTGTCCTGGAGGGAAACCGTTCCCTTGCGGTAAAGCTGAGGAAAAATGTCTGAACACAGACTGTGTTTGAACTGGAGGTGGACAGATTGAGTCTGGACCCCCCGAGCCCCCGGCAGAGACCCCGGGTCTCTCGGCTGATATATTAGTTAGATTGCTGGCGGTGCTGTCCGCAGCTCTAAACCACGCGGTCTCTGACCTGGCGGTGGGACAGGAAATAAGGCGGGGGCCGACTYTGCATTCCTGTCCCACGGCTACGTCAACATCTGCCGGTGCCACGCCGAGCCCCTCGCTGCCCGCACTTGCCTGAATCATCCTCTGCACGGAGGGGGTCCGCAGCACGCTCTCCTCGCTGAGCGACGACTCCCACTTGTCGCTGAGGTTCCTCTGACCGCGGGCCAGGTGCAGCGCGCTCTCCGCGTAGTTGTTGAGCCCCGAGCGCGGGTCGTCCGAGTCCAGCACGGCGGCGTAGAGCTCGGCGTAGGTCCCGAGCAGCCCGGCGGCGGCGGCCTGAGAGAGCTGGGCGCCTGCCGATGCATACTGAATGGACAGGATGTGAGCCCGGTAGGCGTCGGCCTTCTGTTCAGGTGTGCAGCTGCCAGACGAAATGTCAAAGGACCTCCGCTGCCAGTCCTCCAGGTGCGCGGCGCCGCTCATGCCTGCCGAAGGAGAGGACACAGAAGGTATTAAAAAAAACATGACCTCAGTAAACAACACAAACATTCCAGCTGACCTGCAGGTTTCTGTCTCASAGAGCACAGAGCAGATTTCAGAGACCCTCTGATTAAAATTCATCAACTCTCAGAGCCAAATTCAGACCAACATCAGCTGAACGGTAACGACCAACAACTCTGGCAGGAAGGACGGTGGGCCACATGTTTACTGAAGGAACACTGTGATTTAATACCAGGTCTAAATAAACTCATCCTGATAAACATAATTAAACATGAAGAGGATCCCAAACAGCACTTTGTTTTCAGTTTTATCTGTTTATTTTTGTGTTAAATGTAAATATAATCAATGTTTATTAGATTTTAGCTTCAGGTTAGTTATTTTAAGCTTTTGGCTGAAGTTTAGCTTAATTTTTTTTTTCTCAATTGTTTTTTGAGTTTAGCTTATTTCAGCTTRAGGCTATAGTTTTGTTCATTTTAGCTTTAACTTATAAGTGTAGCTTTTAGCTAAGGTTTAGCCAATCCTAGCTTCAAAAACTAGATGCAGATTTTAGCTTTTAGCTATGGTTTTGCTAAATTAAGCATAAGGGTACTGTTTTGTTAACTTTAGCTTTCTGCTGATGATTTATAGCTGTAGCTTTCGGCTACAGTTTAAAAAATTTTAGCTTCAAAAACAGGTTGCAAATTTTAGCTTTTCGCTAATGATTTTTAGCTGTAGCTTTTGGCTACTGTTTAGCTAATTCTATAAGGATGTTGACATTTCGTCAGCTGCTGCTGCCATTTTCTTTCCGAACTGCTGTAACCAGATTTTGCAGGGCAGTTCGGTGTTTAATTTCCTCCTGCTTCATTATTTCTACGAGTTTCAACAAAGCGTGCTGACATCAGGTAGCTAGCTACAACTTCTTCCAGTTTTTAATTTTTGTCGATGCGTTTTGAAGAGACCATTCTTTGAAAAGCGGATCAAAGTAAATCATGAGTTTTTCCAGTGACCCCTTAAAGAGACGAGCTGCTGTGAAGAACATTATTTTTCTACCTTTGTTCCAAATTTGATAATGATTTGAAATGAAGTATGTTTTTTTATCTGGAACAGCGCTTGTTGCAAAGTGTTTTGATGCTCGTCTTCATTGGTTGAGGAGCTTTGTTTACAACATGTCCACATGGTTTTTAAATTGTTTTCATTTACTTACTTTCTAAGACACATTAAGTTGATTTGATGCTGCAGTTTGCCTTGTAATGTTATTTTATACCTTTTCTGCTACTTTTGAATTGGCTATTATTAAGTTTTATTAGTTTTTAGGATACAAGATGCTTCCTACAAAAACCAGAATGTGAATCTTTTCCTAAAATTTCATGGTGATCTTGAACACCGAGGAAGTTATGAGCAAAAACAGAAAACAACAAGGTGAAATGATCACATTAGTTCTGCTGTGAGCTACAGCAAGAAAACATGAGCAGATTTCAACTAAACAAACATCAATAACTTCCCTCAAACTTGAGATAACCACATGATTTTGGTGATATTTTGTAGGTTTTTAATGTTTTTTTTTTTAATTTGCTGTCAATTTTAATATTGGTGTAGGATTAAAAATGTATCCACATCTGTAAATTGTAGCTTCAGAAACAGCTGACAGATTTTAACTTTGAGCTACAGTTTTACTAAATGATTAAAACAGTTTCTCTGATTTTAACTAACATTTTTTCTAAAGAGTTTTAATTGTAGCCACTGGGGACATTTTAGGAGATTTGAGCTGTAGTTTTTCCAAATACAGATTTTAGCATCTGTTCTGCTTCATTTTTAACTAATTTAAATTAAAGTCATTCAGTACACAGTTCACATATTTACAAATAAAGTGTCATTTAGTTCATTATCAAGAGTTTGAGCATTAATTAAAGAAGCTTCCTCCAACACCTGGTGGGTTTGGCCAGGTGACTTTACTGAGTAATTAAGATCAAATCTTCAATAAATATTAAATAAAGCAAACTATGTCTCATTTGTGACATCTCAAACTAACAGACTCGCGGGATAAACTGTTATAAATATAACAGAGAGCACTTATTTAGCTTAAAAACTGACGTTACTGCTGCAGCCAAGAAATAAGACCGGMACTATTTACAGAAAACACTCTAAAAACAAGCTATAAAGACGGCGGACGTGACGTCACTTACTTTATCGTTATGTTAGTTCGATGTTATGACTTATAAAGTTGCCACACAAACACCAATTTTATATTTATAGCACAAACATCACTGAACGCTGTATTSTTTGCTACTAATATTCCCGCCGTGCATTTCTTCCACTTCCTCCCACAACTAGACAGCTTCCTGTCTCGTCCCATTTCGTTCTCAACYAAACTTTTTCGTTTTCAGCACCGCTTCAGTGAATTTGGGGGAAACCAGAGAAAACACTAAAATGTTTAAATAAAACACGTGAGAAATTTCTGATGAAAACAATAAGAAAAATAAAAATAAAGCGAAAACTCGGGTGACCAATAATCACCCAACAAAAATATTGGAATGCGACCCAAAACTTTTCACAAACTGTTGCGCACAGGACCCGCCTAACTGTATCTGCTCTGTATCCCTGCGCCGCGTTAATAAGTTCCATGTAAAAAGCTCTAAGTTTATTTAAAAATAACAGTCCTAAAACAAAAAAAAACTCATTTCACTTTAAAACTTATTAAAATCCAGAATATGATGAGAACGGCTCACCAGCAGTTTATTGTAAAACAAACACCGCCATCTTCTGGCCTCAATGGAGAAAACAAGGGAAAATAAAGGAACGCCTTAGCGAGTTGCATTTTGGGAAATGAAGTTCATACTATAAAAAGATAGCATGGCTTCAAATATAACGCTAATTTTGCTAAAAATGTATACTCTGACAAAATAAATTATTAAATTATGCCGTATTTATCTTATATGTAGCCAAAGACGGCTAATGTCAACGACGTTTGACGTCAGTGACAGYGTAAACTACATTACCCACAATCCTGCAGCACGGTGTTTATCCCGTCGACAGCGGATATGCCTCTGAGCTTCAAATASTAAAGCACACGCCGCTAGCGGAATAATGCGGTGTTTTTATGATCCGGTGCTTTCATCACCAAGTCAACCGGCGTTTTTTACTGATGCCAAAATAACCTCGAGAACGAGCGCGTGACAGAAGTTTGAATTARCCGCAGAGTTAGCCGTTAGCTGAAGTGCGGACGGGATGTAAAGACCGGACCAGCCCCAGGAGGAGCCGGCGGCAGCTGCAGGAGGTCACACCCTGTCTGGGGGACACTGAAGGCTTTTATGCGCCTATCACCAGGCAATACTCCCAAGAATATCAGCTATTAGTTGTAATATTTAATATTAATAGGAGTTAGCTTGAAGCTGCGGAGTTAACCGGAGTAAAAATATGACTGACTCATCCTCACAGAAGAGATAACCCTCACCCAGCTGTCTGCTGACCACAAACCCGCACAGATAGCTGGAAAAACAAGTTAATAACAAATTAAATTAAGTTATTACTCTAACAACGTGGCGTCATGAATCCTCCCATGTTCACCTTTGTTAGCCGGGATGATAACAGCTCTGTTTATGCAGAAGTTTCCAAAATACTCCTTTCCACCGGTCAGTGGAAGAAGCTGAAGAAAGACAATCCCAGGTTTAATCTGATGCTCGGAGAGAGGAACAGGCTGCCCTTTGGACGGCTCGGTACGTCGTGTTTTCAGGCTCTAAGCTTTGATCACTTTACTAATATGTGGTTTTGAATAAACTGAATTAAACTCTGTTTAATTGATTTTCCAGGCCATGAACCAGGACTGGTGCAGCTGGTGAATTATTACAGAGGAGCAGACAAGCTGTGCAGAAAGGCATCTTTGGTCAAGTGCGTCTCATTGTCCTCACCTGTCTTATCTTGGCCCTGTTTACACAAGACCGGTCTCTGGGAATGTTAAAGTTTACTGGGGTGAAAACACAAAAACYTCACCTGTTTACACGGAACCACAGCAGTAATGTACAAGGCAGGGTCTTCAGTGTGTCATCAGGGTCCGCAGAGGCCTATTAATTAGGCACTCCTTAGGTTCAGCTGTGTCGACCGGACGTCACTGGCCGTTGAGGACCGACTTTGGACACCACTGGTTTAAAACCATCACATTTTGAGTCAAAACAGCAGATATGCTGCATATATGACTCAGTCAGTCGTGTATGCTGAGTGAGGCCGTTGTAAAATAAGGTGTGTTTGGTGCATGAAAAAAGACCGACACAAAAAAAAAATTATCTGGCAACCCTCGTTCATGCTCTCGGGTCGGATTTATAAAACTGGCGTACGCACAATTTGAGCCCAGAAACTTGCGTACGCCACTTTTTGCGCCAAAGTTATGATTTATAAAATCCAAACTTGACGTGAAAATGTGCGGTGCCTCACAGCTCTGACCCATGCGTACGCTCATTTTGGAGACGTGAAACTGCGACACAGATGTTGAAGTGGTGAATTAGAGCCACACTGTGTAATGATCACTGTCAGATATTTAATTTACCTTCATCAGACTTAGATTTTTATTAAACTTTATCATCAGCTTTCTTAACAGTAATATTTATGCTTCTGCTGCTGCTGAGTCATGAGGACCTTTGAAATAAAAAAAAAAAACAAATCTAAAATAAAAGTTCCCGTGCGCAGCTCCTTTCATCTGCTTCCTCCTCAGACGACCCTGACCCACAGACCCCTCCCCGACCCACAGACCCCTCCCCGATAAGAACAGCAGGACAGCAAAAGCTTTGGAAACACGCGCAGGGCGCATCCACCTCACCAGTGTGCATGTTATAAACCTTCAAGTTTAAAGTCCGTGTTTGTCACGCGCGCGCGCGGGGGGGTGCGTGTGTGTGTGCACGCAGGGCGGGGGTGTCTGCCGCGGATAACAGCAGGCAGGAGGGGATGAGGAGAAGAGCGGGGGACTTATTTCTAATTTTATCTGACTTATTTAATTTTATTTTTATCGTCCTGCAGGCTCTGAGTGAAAATTAATTTGAAGCTGAGATTTTTTTTATTAAAATCGTTAGATTACTCTAAAGCAAAATGAGGGAAAATCTGTGTCAATTACAGACATTCTGTTCACGTGAGAAGCTGTCAGTCAACACCTGTCAACCTCCAGACGCACGACGCAGCGCGTATCTGAACCAATCACTTTTGTTGGCATTGATAAGCTGACTGATTTAAATACATCTTAACAT